GCAAGTCTGGACTTGTGGCCGTCGTCCAAAATCTGGCGTTTGATCTCTTCTATGGCCGAGACACAGACTCTACCTCGAAATTTCAGAATTCCATTGGTAACTGTGAAATCTGGATGTGGTTCTGTTTCTAGTCCATCTCGAACTTTTTTCAATTCTGGATCCTCCTTCTGTCTTTATCTGATCATTTCAGTTATGGCTGGTTGAGCAACTATGGCGTTGCACGTGGTAATCGATCCTGGAATTATCACTTCCAATTCTATTTGATCCATCTCTTCTAAAAATGTTGGTTACGTAGTGTGTAGGCAATTTATCCTCCCTGTCAATTTCCTGCTCAGAGTGTCTGCTACCACGTTAGCTTTTCCTGGATGGTATTGAATGTTGACATCGTAATCTTTGATTAGTTCTAACCACCGGCGTTGCCTTAAGTTAAGCTCCTTCTGGGTAAAGATGTACTTTAGGCTTTTATGATCAGTGTAGATTTCGCACGATACTCCATACAAGTAGTGTCTCCAGATTTTTAAGGCAAAAATTACCGCAATGAGCTTCAGGTCGTGAGTTGGATAGTTCCTTTCGTGTGTCTTCAGTTGTCGTGAGGCGTAGGCGATGACTTTCCCACGTTGCATTAAAACACATCCCAAGCTTTGACATGACGCATCGCTGTAGATTGCATATCCATCGACATCGTTAGGAAGGGTAAGGATCGGTGTTGAAACCAATCTCTTCTTCAAGTCCTGGAAACTCTGTTCTCATTTTTCGGTCCAAACGAACGGTGTGCCTTTTCGTGTTAGCTCAGTCAATGGCACAGTAATCCTTGAAAAATCCTGCACGAATTTGCGGTAGTAGCTAGCTAGTCCCAGAAAACTTCTAACTTTAGTCACAGTAGTGTAGACACCCCATTTTTGACCGACCTCAAGACTTTGACGTCATCGGTTGTACACTCGATGATTGCGCATGTTTGTGCTTGTTTTGGGTGCCCAAGGGTCTCGGCTGAGTGCCTTGTCTTTGAGCCTCTTAACACTTTGTGTTTTGGCCTTGGTTTTTGGGCCAAACCTTGATCCCTCTTGCCTGAGCGAGGGGAGGGGCTTGCTGGCCACTTTTGGCATCTGCCGGCCACTTTTCTCTCTTGTAGGCCACTTGGAGCGGTCGGCCGGCTAGGAGAGGTGGCCGGCCGGCCACTTTAACTGGCCGGCGGCCAATTTTTCTCATTTTTAGATATTTTTAGATCTTTTGAGCCAGCTGTTGCTCACTGAAATTCATCCTCCATATACGTATATGGAGGGATGGAGCAAGCTTTTTGCTTGCTTTCTCTATATAAGGGAAAGTCCCTCCCCTTTTAGAGAGGTTCACAAATTTCAGAGCTGAAATCTCTTTTTCCCTAGAATTCTCACTCACTCTCTCTCTATATATATTGTGCTATATTGAGCTTAAAAGTGTGTTTTCTTCACATATTTGCACTAAGACACCTAGTCAAACACCTTCACTTGGAGCTGAGGTCCATTGAAGCTTGATTTGAGGTCTTAGACTTTGTTTTGGCTCAGAATTGTTGCTGTCTTGCTGCTGTTCTTCAACGGTAAGTTTCTTCCCCTTTTAAGCTTGTTTTTGTACACTATTTTGGGCCACCTTTGCATGTTGTTTTGGCCTAGTTGTCAACTACAAAAAACTCTATTTTTAAGTGTTAAAAATGTTGGTTTGAGTCCTTGTTGGAGTTAGGGGTGGTCCACCCTCTTTCATTGCTTATTTGCTAAGCTTTTGGGCTATCCTTTAAAGCTTTTGAAACCATCTCCTTTTGGCCCTTTAACCACTGAATTCCAGAAGAATTTCATTGGTGGAAAAGTGGTTTTGAGGTCCAAAATGGGAGGGGGTGGTCCCCACTCCTCTTGTCTTGCTTGCATGTGTTGGTGGCCTACCAAGTGAGCATGTGTTTCTTCATTTTTGAAGCTTAGTTCAAGCATGTTTTTGTGACTTTTTGGACCTGCTCTAACTCTGTTTTTGGCTGGTTTGGCCACTTGTTGCTTATATCTTACACTTGTAGTGTAATGTAGCTTAATAGCCTTGAATGCCTAACGAGTTAGTCCATCATTCTAGCATGTGTTAGCTTGACTCCAACACATTTATGCTAATTTTTTAGCATCATTTAACTCTGTTTTAAGTGGTCTTGGCCATGTGAGACTTGTTGTGCATGGTTGTAGTGCACAGGCCTTGACTAGCTTTGAGTTTCAAAGTCTCTAGCATGCTTTGCTTGAGTTGTTTGCATGCCTTAGCCTCATTTCTCACATGATTTTAGTGTATATTGTTTAGTCACACTCTCACATATTTCACTCTTTCATAGCTTTTGAGAGTTGTGCTTTATGCCTTGTTTATGAGCCAATACATGAGCATGATTTACTTGCTTTTCATGCTATCATCTCGGCATATTTTAGCCTCTGTTTTGACATATTTGAGGTCTGTCCAGAGTTGGTTTGGTCCTTTGAGTTTGTTATTGCATGCTTCTAGAGTGATGCTCTTCACTAGCTTAATGTATTTGGCTTTTTGAGCATGCATTACATGAGTTGTTTGCATTGTTTTTTTAGTCACTTAGCATGATATCTCAGTGATGAAATATGTGTCATTGCACTCCATTGTTTTAAACTTTCATTCACCTTGAAAGTGGCCTTAAGCCGCTTGTTGGCTTGAGCATGAACTTGAGGCATTCATGTCTAATGGTTTTAATCCTCCCTCGAGGATTTCTACTAACCAATAGCATGATACTTTCTTCATGCTCAAGGCACTCGAAGCTTAGGTCGTCTTTCAAATTAGAGGACTTTGCACATTGAACTTAACCGGTTAATGGAGTAATTGGTAAGCTAAAATGAGTAAACAAGAATTGAGTAAAGTAAAACATGCCAAGATAACATATGTGTGTTGCATTGCATGTGTTTGGATCGGACATTAATCCAAACACAAGAAATATGGCACATTTCATACTCAAAGTGATGAAACGTGTCGCGTTTCTTGGTCGTTGTCACCCTTGATCATACATGATAGGGTGACGACACTTTGAGTCTTATGTGCGCATTCACTAAAGCTTGTACAAGCTTGGTTCTTGGGCCATCATGCGTTGAGATGCTTGGTTGGTGGCTTGAGAGCCAAGTACCACACTCCTTTGAGCTTGAGACATGATGAGGAGGGTGGTTATACACACATTTCTTGCCAAATATACTATCTTGGCTCTGTTGCTCTCTATTGCAGCAAAGCAGAATTCTGGAAAGAGAAATGGTCGGCCGGCCACTTGCACTAGCCTATCGACCACTTGCACTGGCCAGCCGGCCAGTTGAGGTAGCCTACCGACCAATTGAGGTGGCTGGCCGGCCACCTGCAGGGAAAATTGTCCAAAGTGTTCCTGTGTTGGGGCAGATGTAAACTAGAAGTTCGTATGATGTTCTGAGATCACCGCGAGTGCAAACAGAGGCAACTCATGGCAAGGCAATGCATTTTCAGGCGAAGCACACCGAGCATGCATGTCTCCCTCTCCTCGAGTCCATTTTACTACTTTACTTAGCTAGTTAATTTGTCGATTTTGTAATTATTAGTTAATGTGCTTAGCTAATTAATTCATTTTGTTATATTTTAGCTAGCTTAGAGTAGTTAGTTAATTTATTTCAGTTTGTAATAATTAATTAGCTTAGAATAGTTAATTAGTTTGTTTGTAATAAGTAGCTTAGCTTAGCGTAGCTAGTTAGCTTATTCATTCGGATCCTCCTTCGCGAGGGCACAATGTTGAAATAAGGGTGCGCGTGTGTGTGCATGTCTTCCAACCCCACTTCTTTCTCCTTTTTACTTACCGTTTTTGATGGTTAGTTTAGGGCATTTTTCAATTAGCATACCTTATGCTTTGCATGCGTACATCATTCATTTGTCTTACATGCACCGAGCTCGACGCATCATTCAAACTACATTGTCAATTCAATACTTATTTGAATACGTGTATCGAACTGTCGCATTCATATGCCATCTTAGATAGCCGAGCCTATTTAGTTGCATTCTTTACATATGTTGCATTAGGCATTTTGCATAGTTAGGATCATACATGATTTCTAACTAGTTTTCTGTTTTTCCTTGGAGTACACTGTAAGTGTTACGCTTTAGCATACTTGCATGAGTGTGAGTGTTGCCATGTTCCGCATGCTTTCCATGAGGCTATTTGCTTAAATGATTAACTGCATGAATGCCTGTGGGTGAAGGCTTGATTTCCTAAATTGGAACAACTTGAGGATTATGAGTTTTAAGCCCACTTTACGAAGTGGAAAAATCATGTTTTAAAGCTCATTTGAGGGTGGCAAATCCGTGCTTTAGCTTACTTGCGAGTAGCACTTTCAAACCATTTTCGAAAAACAAACATGAATTGTTTTGTTCCAATTCTCGTGATTGAGTCTATATTTGTATGCACTTGCGAGCATCACATAGTAAGTTAGATTAATAAATGAAATAAGAACACATGTGTTTATCAAATGGCATATCATGTTAGTAGAAGCCGATCCTTTGATCGGGCGAGCGAGGGTGCTCATGTTATGACCTTTCCCTCTCATACTCAAGTTCTCGAGTCAAGGCAACTTTGGTGATAACGGACACGTGGCCTTTGGTATGAGTTAGGGTTTTCTAAATTTTTCAAAAATAAAACATTTAGGTGGGGACTCTGTAATATGGCAAAGCAGTCCATGTTTGGCGCTTTTTGATTCAAAATTGATTTTTCAAAACCAATTGCCAGATTTAGACTCTTTGGTGATTTATTAGTCTCACATTGCACTTTGTGAGATTAGATTTAGAACCGTAACAGGAGTCTGAACTGTAGTAGCACGAGGATCCAATTTGCACCCTCTCCGAAAAGAGGGGGCGCGAGAAGAGAGTTTAGGCAGTCTACAGGTTGTGGGTCGAAGCCAATTGACAATTGTTTCGATCTTTTGTGGGTCCATTGAAACTCCATCCTTACTAATGACGTGTCCTAAAAATGTGACACTGTCTAACTAGAATTCACATTTCTTGAACTTGGCGTAGAGCTTTCGCTCCTTTAGCATCTGTAGAACCTTTCGCAAGTGTTCTGCATGTTGCTTTTCGTCCTTGGAGTAAATCAGTATATCGTCAATGAAAACGATGACAAATTCATCCAAGAACATCTTGAATACAGGATTCATCAAGTCCATAAACGCAGTAGGTGCATTAGTCACGCCAAAAGGCATCACAAGAAACTCGTAGTGACCGTAACGAGTACGAAAAGTTGTCTTCCCTATGTCCTCGGTTTTCACCTTCAGTTGATGGTACCCCGACCGTAAATCAATCTTCAAAAATACACATGCGCCTTGCAGCTGATCAAACAACTCATCGATTCAAGGTAGTGGGTACTTATTATTTATTGTAACCTTATTTAGTTCTCGGTAATCAATACATAACCTCATTGTTCCATCTTTTTTCTTAACAAAAAGGGCAGGTGCTTCCTATAGGGACGAGCTCGGTCTAATAAAACCCTTGTCAAGTAACTCTTGTAATTGAATTTTCAGTTCTTTTAATTCGGCTGGGGCCATTCGATACGAAGCTTTGGAGATCGGTAGCGTACCAGGTGCAACTTCAATAGAAAACTCAATCTCCCGATCTATTGGCATTCCAGGTAGATCCTCCAGAAAGACGTCCGAAAATTCTCGAACCACAGAAATAACAGATATCTTCATATCTTCTACTGGTGACGACGAGATGCTGCACAAAAACCCATGACAACCCTTCCTCAGAAGTCGTCGGGCTTGAGCCATGGATACTAAATACGGACCCAGTGAAACGAAAGTCCACATGACCCGAGATTCGAAACTCAACACACTTATGTGCACAGTCGATAGTGGCGTTGTTGGCAGACAGCCAAACCATGCCAAGGATAACGTCGAAGTGATCCATCTCCTTGGGAATCAAGTCGACTGTTAGATGATTATCGAAACACACATCATAATTTCTATATACAGTTGAGCAACAAATACTGCCATTCATGGGCTGAGAAACAATCAAACCATAACCAAGGGGTTCGGGTTTCTTAGGTAGTCTCATGGAAAAATGTGATGCAATGAATGAATGTGTTGATCAGAAATCTATAAGAGCATAAGCCGATAATGAACAGATAAACAAGTTACCTGCAACTACCATTTCTGTGTTCTGTACGTCTCCTGGTATTAAGGCAAAAGCTCTGCCTTGTCATTGATTGTTCACTAAGTTAGGTTCTGCCCCAGTTGTCTGCACCATGTTTCTCCCTAGAGGTACCGCATTCGCTCCAGTTTGCACCAATTTAGGACAATTCCTTTTCATGTGTCCCCCCTCGCCACAATTAAAGCAAGTTCCAGTAGCTTTGTGACATTCTCCTGAGTGGAAGCTATCGCAAGTGTTACACTTAGGCACCTTGTTGCCCTGATTGTTATTCTGCTTCCCAACATTGGATGGTCCCGCATTCTATTTTTTTGGTGGAAAATCACTTGACTTCTTCCCATCAGAGTTGTCAAAACGATGCTTCTTCTTCTCAGTGAACTTCTTCCTGCTGTTGACATTCCTCTCCACGATCATGGCACAATCAACTATGTCAGCGTATGTAACCAATCGCATTGGCAGTATGACATCACGGATGTCGGGGTCGAGTCCCTCTTCGAACCTTTGAGCTTTTAGATTTTCTGTGCTAATCAGGTGTTTCCCGTACTGTGATAGCCTAGTGAATTCTGCTTCGTATTCAGCCACCGACATCTGCCCCCACTACTTCAGTCAATAAAACTCCGCACACTTTGCATCCTGGACGGACTGAGGTATGTATTTCTCTCGAAAGACGACCAGAAATCGGTCCCAAATCATTGTCGGCTCGGTCTCTTCCTTCATCTTCCACCATTGCTGAGCTTCTCCTTGCAGTAAATACGTGGCTAGTCCGACCTTCTGGGTTTCTGTACAATGCATAACTTTAAATATCTTTCGCAGCTTTGCGACCCAAGCATCGGCCCTTTTAGCGTCTATTCTTCCTGGGAAGGTTGGGGGTTTCAGCTTCAAGAATTCCTTCAAGTCGAGATATTCCTGTTGAGGTTGTGCCACATTCCCCAACTGTGGGCCGTGGACATTGTTAGTCGGTTGTTGTTGTACTTGAGGTGGGTTCTGTGGAGGTGGTGGTTGTTGCCTTTCAGCTTGGGCTACCATGAAGAATTGCTCCATCATTCTTTCTAACCGATCGAGACGGCTTGAGTCGCCAGCTCCAAGAGCTCTCGCAAGGTTCCCTCGAGTGTTCATCCTAAAATTCAACGTGTTAATACTAAGGTGGGATTTCGACGAGTCATAACTTCTATTGTATCATAGAGGTAAGGAAGCTGGAAATGAGAAACGTACAATAAAGGAGAGTCATCATAACTATGCATCCATTTATATATATGTACATATATCCATGAGTTGATGTACACATGGTCAGCTTTACATGGTGGTTACAAGATATAGTATTATGTTAGAATGATGCAATTACCAAAAACACTTAAGCGCCACAAAGCCCAAAACTAGTTTGCCAACATCACGAAAGGCATCAAAACTAATCTAGACTGAACATGTTAGCATCAAGGCCCCTATTACATACAAAATATAAGTATAGTTGCCCAGTCTATATTCCCCCCCACCAGGACTAACTAGTCGTCAGATCCATCCAACTCGTCGCGAGATTCAACGTCATAAACCTCAGGTTCGTTGGGGTTGAACTTAGGTTCTTTCTCAGGTTCTTCTTTAGGGTCTTCTTCTATGTCATCATCCATTCCATCTTCGGCAGGATCCTCAGGTTCATGAACTATGGGGACCACAGGTGCCACTTCTGGTACTATTTGATCTCCCTCGTCTCCATTAGCTTCCACGTGGTCAACTCCTTCTCTGAAGAACACTGGGTCATTACTAAACGCTAGCACTTCTTGCCAAATTTGCATGTGGATATGAACACGGTGAATAACTACCGTCCTCTTCATCTCTGGAGTGAAAAGAACTTCCTCTTGGCTAACGAAAGTGATTTGGTTGTAAAAGCGTCGACGTGCTTCACGGAGGACTTCTTGATTGTGACAAGCTAGGTCTCGCGGTTCGACCCCCCAATGGCCCTGCTGAGCCTCGCTCAATCGATACCCTCCAAACTCGTCATAGTGAAGGATAGGCTCCATGTCCTGCAGTACACACAAGACGTAAATCTTGTAAGTACCGGACCCAAGGCAAATATATGGGTAAGGAGGAAAACTACAGTAACTTAAGGCTGTAGTAAGGTTTCTTAAAGCATCTACCCCAAATAGGTCGCCGAATGAGACACTTAAACATGTAGCATGTATTGAGTGTCGCAGTGCAAGTGTCTTAGTGGTCTATGGATTTAAGGTTCTCTAAACCTACAGCTCTGATACCAAGTTGTCATGACCCGAAATAGGGGCTAATTGGAATCGCAACCGGCCAGCGCCTCATCTCGCACCCTAGGCCTACTACTAACTAGTTTAGAGAACAAATAAATAAATCATCGCAAATACTAGGTGATTACATTTAACTAGAGCGTTGCTATAGAAGTCATACAAGTCATAAAGGAAAGTTAAGTTACAACAATAACTTGGCCCTATGCTAACAAAAGAGGTAATACATGACTTATATAAAACTATAGGTCTAGAATCCATCCCAGGCCAGGAGACACCACAAAAATAGGCCTTTGGTTATCCACTAAGCATTCTCCTTACCTGAAATGGGTTAGTAACACACCCGTGAGCTATAAAGCTTGTGAGAACATATTTACACAATTTACAAGTTTGCCACGGTTCAAATATAAATATTTCAAGTTTCGAGCATAACTGTTCATGTTCAAAAGCCCAATGGCTGAAAAGACAAAATAAATGCTCTTATATATGTATATATATCAAAATATACATACATATGTCCATTAGACTGGATATGTTACCCGAGAAGTAGGAAGCTACCCATAGTAATATCAAGTGGTCATGATCATGCCAAGGGACGATGGCCGCGTCCCAACAACCACCCTTATAACGCCTCACCTGTTGGTATCTTTAATTTCCCCCAATGTTCGGGATGTTCCGTTCGAATGTACGTTATTTCATTTACAAGAGTTTTATAACAATGTCTTAACCATGGCTTCATAAAAACAATATTTATATAAGCAATACGTGTGAGTCGGCTTTTCCCGTTAGCTCACGTTTTCTAAAACATAACATGATTTTCAAAATGTATTCAAGGTACTTTTCCAATCATAGGCATACTTGCTAAAGTTCAAAATCATATGTTTATTCCGTTATTCAGAAATCAATGCAATCTCATGCTCCAAAATAATTCATCGATCAAAGCATGTCATTATATTCAAATACATGTAAAAAGCATAAGCATGAACTCACCTAAATGTACACGAAGTTTGGTAAAATCAACCAGAACCGAGATCTAAACACAACATATGAAAAACTACATTATAGTAGGTCTAGGAATTAATTCTAAGCATGAAATAAATATTCAAACCATAATCCCAAAGTGTACAATTTAAAAGGGGTCCTTCTCTTATGGTCCAGAGGTTCTTAGTTTGCAACACTTTAGATCAGAGGCTAAAATCCTAATCAAAACACTTAAAAATATTCTAAAATTTTACAAGGTTATCAATCAAGATGTTATGAAACTTTTTCATGAAGGACTTGTCTCCCAAAAATGCTCATAAATAGGGTAAAATGGCAGTAAAACAAAGCTGGTCCAGATCCGTTGCAGTTTCCAAAAAAAATTATTTCCACAACAATCTAGCCGTTGGATCGAGTTGAAAAAAATTGGATTGGAAAGATAACACTCTAATTTAACTCTGGTCCAAAAATCAACCATTAAAATGGCCTAAATATGTTTTGATGAATTTTCAAAGTAGACTGTCTGTTCAGGAAAAAACAACTGTTTGTTGGGTAAAATCCTTGTTTTGAGCTTTAGCCGCATGGTTCATTGCAACATGATATCAATGGGAGGAAATAAAGTCTAAATCTGTATTTTAGGATTTAGATTCATGGTTCATTGTAACATGAAATCAAAGGAAAGAAATGGAGGCTTTAACATATGGAATTGAAGTAGATATAGAGAAGAATTTACCTAGACTTGAAACTTGAAGAACAAAGATGAAAGTGTTTGACTTTCTCTCTTAAATCTACAGATTTTCAGCAAGAAGATGAAGTTTCTGCACATATAGGATATATATAGGAGGAAAGGGGTAGGTAGGATCAATGGCTAGGATTGAATGGTGAAGTATGTGGTAAAAAGGGGAGTGAAGTGGATATATCTTTCACCTCACCAAGAAATTACAACCATGGTGGCTGATTTTACCACCACAATTGTACTGCTCAGATAAAACGCAGTGCGCGGACATCTGGGCTGTCCGAAAATCGGCTCAAGAAAAATTCCATTTAATCACTGTTGACTAATTGCGACATTCTGAGTTCGATGGTGTGATCCGTTTCGCTTAAAGAAAAAATATACATCTTTATGAGTTTCATTTTTGACACACTCAAAGAGGATTATTAATTATTGTTCTGTTATGGGTCCGCCCCGGATGGCGAAGTATAGATAATATTTATTAAGATGACATTAATGAACTTATTAAATATGAAATGCGACCTCCGTTCATTGACGGTGTCAAACAAAAGGCGAAAAGTCGGGTCGGGTCTTCATAGTTACTTCAAGAGACAACACAGCATCATTCCCCTACACCAACTCATATTGAGTTGTTCCTATGCTATTTCTTTTTGAATTTCTATAAGCCCAAAGCACTTCTGATAGGAGATTATGCCAATCCCTAGGATTATCTTCAATCATCTTTTCTAAGGTGTTTTTGACAATCTTGTTTGTTGCCTCAGCCTGCCCATTTGCCTAGGCATAATAGGGTGAGGAATTTAATATTTGAATGCCATATTCCGTGGCAAACCCTTTAATCTCATCCCCATTGAACATTGTGCCTTGATCGACAGTTATGGACTGGGATAAACCAAACCTATGAATCACATTCTTTTTTAAGAATTCAATGATTGAGTCTGTGTCACCACTTTCAGAGGCACTGCTTCTATCCATTTAATAAAGTAATCAGTAGCTACTAGCAAATAGGAATGTGCTTTTGAGGAGGCTGGGAAAATATGCCCTATCAAGTTCATAGCCCATCCTCTAAAAGGCCAAGGTTTTACTACTAAATGAATATTTATTGCTGGAACTCTTTGAATATTGCCATGTTTCTGGCAATTCTGACATCCTTTTGGATATATTATGCAATTTTTTCTGATAGATGGCAAAAAATGAACATATCTGTTAATCATCCATCTCATCTTATCACCAGCCTGATGGGCCCCATAAATTCCCTCATGTGTTTTAGCCATGGCTTTCATCTGGTCTAACTTACCAATACAAAGTAAAGGCAAACCATCATGAGCCTTCCTAAATAAATCATCTCCCATGATGACATAATTTGGGGCTTGATATCTTATCTGCCTATTACTCCCTTCATTAGGATTCGACAGGTATTTTATTAAGGGGAATCTTCAATCTTCCTCGGTCACATCCAAAGTAAAAATAGGCAAGAAATTTCTACACCTACTCTTAAATGCGGAAAAGTTTCTTCTCTTAATTCGAATCACCCTTTCTTGAGCCCCCTTAGGTATTTTTAAACCAAAAGTAGCTTGAGCCATCTCATTAGCCTCTTTATTCTCTAATCTATATCCGTGTGTAAAGGTGACATGGTC